TACTAAACTAAATAAATATAATATAAACAGTTCTCTTATATAGATTTCTGTAAGTTTCAGAACATCGCCATATACAAACGGTTTCTAAAGAGCTTTGCAGTTCGCAACGGGGACAGTTGAAATATTATTATTAAAAGTTTAATAGATAACGTGTAAACCGACCACGTGTAAACCGGCTTATAATTTTAAAAGGAAGAGTTTCTCAATTCCTAGCTACCTATTTTACTGTGCCTTTTAATTTACACGATAATAAGTAAATTTAATAAGTATATAATAAGTAAATTAATTATTTAGACTACGTCAGATAATTAAATTTCAATTAATTTACTGAAATCGACCTTAGAGCGTCAATTTCCTTGGTTGCCTGTTTTGGCAAGAGTTTAAATATATTCAAGATCGGATTATAAATATAGGATTTTCTCACATGAATAATTTCTAGAATATTCCTTGTTTCGCGTATGCTTACCCTTGTTTATAACAATAGTGCCGAAAGGTATTAAGATAATCTTTGAAATAAAATTAATGCTATGTCAATAGATATCTCACGAGTGTGGTATATAAATGTAACGAGATGGCGTCTTATTTATTGGCGAGTTAAGACTCGTTAAAGAACACGACATAAGAAAATGACGGACGTAAGTACACCTGTTCGTTATAATATGGTTAAAATATATTTTAAACTGGTTTATCAGCTGGAACCTTAAAAAGACTATAGTTTTCCTAATTAAGGTATATACCGATTTTAAAAGAAGTTTTTCATTACACAAATATTTTTTGTTTAATTTAGTTTAGCAACAAACTACCTAAAGTTATTGGTAAATAAATTAAATATCTCTAAAGAGATAATATCTGAGAGAGATAGAGAGAAGAGATATTATCTGTTTTTTTTAATAATAATAAAATTGCTTAGGTAAATTTAGTTAATTTCTTACAAAAACAACCAAATGTTTTTTATAGAAGGGACCCGTAGTTATGATTGATCCGTCTCAGTTGTTGAGACCGGAACCAACATTTAACGACAAGCCAATACAGGCATACCGTGACTATACCATTGATGACACGGATCCTATTAAGGAGCGCGTGCGCAGAACATACTACGAGATGCACACCAAAATGACCGTCGATCTTGCTAAAGGTTTTATTTTACATATATTTTTATATAAATAGGATTATTCTATAGATCTTTAGTTAATTTATATTTTGTTTTTGATCTTTGAGCATGCAGTATGCTAGGTCAATATCGCTAAAGTATCATTATTATAAAGTATGTCGTCATATCCTTTGAATTTTGAGAAGAGTTTTGACATAATTTCTACATATTCAAAAATATTTTGTAACAGAAAAACGCGAGAAATGGTTAAAATTCAACCACTTTAAGGCGACCGTGAAAGAGGCTCTCATCCGTCTTAACGAGGTTGTAGACGAGTCTGATCCCGATCTGGACCTTCCCAACATAGTACACGCGTTCCAGACTGCCGAGAGAATACGACAGGACCATCCTAATGATGACTGGTTCCATCTTATTGGCCTGATACATGACTTGGGAAAGGTAAACGTGAAAAAGTAGAGAGAATGTAGAGATCACTGGATGTCAGAGTCGAAACCTAATGCAAACTATGTCATAAACGTTTTGGATTTGACGTACGTAACGCTACGTAAAAGTGTTCGCTCTGAATCTTACCTTAATAAGTTTAATGCGAATGTTTAGTACATTGTTTTCGTTATTAAATTAAGCCTACAGAAGGGTACTTTATGTTAGGTGATGGCGCTGTATGGCGAACCGCAATGGTGTGTAGTAGGAGACACGTTCGCCGTGGGTTGTAAGTGGGCTGATGCCATCGTTTACGGCCCAGAAAGCTTCAAAGATAATCCCGATACCTACAATCCTAAGTACAAGTAAGTACCCAAAGAGAGAATTAATGTAAAGTTATAAGCAGATATGACATTTCTGCACGCACAAGTTTTAAGTAGTTTATAAGCACCGTCGAAGTCAATGTAATGACTACTCGAAACTAAATAAAACTCTTTCTTCAGGTGCTATGTAATGCTGGTAAAGATACGTACAAGTATAATATACCTACTAAAATAATATTGCTCTATAGTTAAGTTTTCGCCCCTGAACCAGGAGCGAAGACTACTCGTAACCTTTACCATATTTGGTTTATAGCTTTTTGTATGTAAATAAGTGAATATTGTTAAACAAAATGTTATTATTAATGCAATTAAGCATCAGCTCACCAGCAATTTAAACCAAATATGACCGGTTCCTTCTTATAGTGTGTCAAATGTGTTATTTTATTTCCAGTACTCCACACGGTATGTACAAACCTCACTGTGGTCTGGACAATCTGATGATATCATGGAGTCACGATGAATATCTGTATCAATTTCTTAAACATAACAAGAGTACGCTGCCTGAAAAGGGATTGGTTATGATCAGGTATATTATTCTAAACTTGGTACATCACCGCTACATCGAAATTCGTTGTTATATCAGTGGAGTTCTCGGTTATCGAGTGCCAATGCAAGCGTTTCTTTAACTAAAATCATATGAATTAACGAAATTGCTATGAAGTGATGAATACGAGAGTTACGAGGTTTTGGAGCTATCCTATAGACTTAAGTGAGGTTAATAATTTAAACGTTTATTAGGTACCACTCTTTTTACCCATGGCACTCCGGTGGAGAGTACCGTCAGCTTACTAACGAAAAGGACGAGGAAACATTAAAATACGTCACTGAATTCAAGTAAGTTTTTAAAGAAAACGTCTTAATTGTTGTTTAGGCTGTTTATGTTTTATGTACATATAGACTGTAACTATATTTTGTTTAAGAACCGTATTTACGTCGTACAGTTTAAAATCATTTTAAAAAAATCAGTTGCGCTACAACCTCTTTAGGTCTTGGCCTCAGATTTCTGAATCTGTTTCATGATCATTTTTAAATCTAATAGGCAAGTAGGTGATCAGCCTCCAGTGCCTGTGACACACGCCGTCGACGTTTTGAGTCTAAGACATGTCGGTTTCCTTCACTGTTCGAGCGAATGTTAAATGCGCACATAGAAAGAAAGTCCATTGGTGCACAGCCGGGGATCGAACCTACGACCTCAGGGATGAGAGTCGCACGCTGAAGCCACTAGGCCAACACTGTCCTAAAAAAATCATTTAAAACAACTCAAAATAAAGCATTTTTTTTTTGTTAAATAATAACTCAAATGATTTTAAATAGATATATCGAAGCAATACTAGAAGTTAGAACTTGTTTTGAAGATAAAAATAAATGAATTTGCTCTTGAAAATAGACACTGGAAGAACACATGACTGCACTGAAACACTATTTCCGTCTTTAGGCACAAATTACAAAACATTAAATCAGGGGCACGCGTTCAATTGATGCTATTTCTGTCCCATTACAATCAAGGTTGTCATTATTAATTGTACAATATTACTTTTTTCTAAGCTTTATTTGGACATCGAAATAGATACATAAGGATCAAAGGACAAGCGTAAAACGTAAAATGTGATTAAATTGTCGTAATTCTTTGATTTTGGATGTCTGATATGATGTCGTCGGAGTTAATGTGGCGACACGTTCTAGTACAATATTCGACCAAAAACATTTCCATACTTATAAATCTGGCTATGATTATAATGGACTCTCAAGGTCATTGTGGTCAAGTCCCATTGGGACTGGGACGATACTACATAGTGTGTGCGTAGTAGATACACAGATAGACCGGAGTATCAGGAGAGTAGCACAAACTACTTTACGTGCTCATCCAAACTATTCAAACACCGCCAGCTTTTTAAAACAAAATGTTAATGCTGTACAGCAATGTAATGTTCCGTTTACTAGTTGAATAATAACGTTCATTTTTATTTTAGTAAATACGACCTCTACACAAAAAGTGAAAAGATACCAGACATCGAAGCATTGTGGCCGTACTACGAGAAACTGATTGAGAAATATATTCCTGGTGTTTGCGAATGGTAGAAATATTACTAGTATTAAATGTAAGAATAAAAAGTAATATATAGTTTTTATTGTTACTTTAAGAAAATATTTAAATAAAAGTACCATCAAGTACTATTAAAAATAATTTCGAATAAAATATTTTAACATTTTTCTTGTAATTACTTTCTACACCCAAAATTACTGATTTATATTTTGTAATGGTTGTTGTTAATTAATTCCTATATACATAATAACGATTTTCTATGAGCTAGATTAATTAACATCTTGCTAATGTAATACACATTAGGAAGGTGTTCATTAAATAAAAACAATTACATAGTTATCAAAGGATTATGATGTAATTACAATGTATATGATGAAAAAATACTTTTTGTACAAGAGCATAATAAAGAAAGAAAGAGCACGAAAAGAGCTTTATTGCAATCATGAATAATTATGACGCTTTATACGAGTTGATTAGTAGGTACTCTAAAGGGTATTCAATATTATATCTTAATAATTTTATCTCAATTCACGTAATAATGTTATTATGTATATCGTTATTACGTTTTATTATTTGCGGTAACCCTGACCTTTTAAGATAGCGTAATAAAGGTCACATTTGTTTATGGATTTTTTATTTGGACAAAGTGGTGTAAACTCTTTTCAAATTTGTGTTGAAAAATAAAACATTTATAAGTAACAAATCCAAAAAACAAGTAAGTATAACTGTACCACAATACAGATTCGCATTTTTCGCATTCAAGTAACAATAGAAAAGAAATGAGACAAAGTTAAGATTACTTATATCATTGATAAAGTAGTGTACATCCATTGTTATGTTTTAAAAGAGGAAGCTTTGTAGACGATAAAAGATGAAAGTAACAATAAACCATAATGGCTTCGGAAATTTTGCTATTCGCCATAATTATCTAAATATGATAACATTATAACAGCAATGTTTGACCCAAAGATAATGTCCGACGACATTTAAAGTGCTGCTCTTCAGGAAAGAACATCAGTCGTGATTTTGACTCCAAGAAGCCATGAAGGACAGACTTAAAGTGAGTATTTTTACTAAAATTTTATGCATGTTGTATAATCGAATATATTACGATTAAATTCGTTACAGGCATTATTAGGTAGGTTTGATAATTGTGTGTAAATAATCGTTTAAAGTGTAATGTATTGTAATTTTTTTAATTAAGTGCAATTGCTTTGTATTTTATTTTTCCATAAATACAAAACGACGGTAAAAATACATGATAATTGATGCTAAACTATCTAGCATTTTATAGAAGTTTTATTTTTTTTGAAAAGTGGGAAAAATTATTTTAAAATATATTTAAATTCAACAACAATAAAATTATCATGTATTTTGTGAAAAAAAATTTTTGAAGTTATACTTCTTTAGGCGCGTTATGAAAAATTTATGAGAGTGAAATTTTACGAAGCGCGCGCACCTGTGACACAAAATTCGGAGTGTGATTATAGCGTGCGCGAGCGAGATAGGAATAAGACAATCTACAAGTAAAAAGAAATAGAATATGCGTGAAGTTCGTATGCCAAGAATTTTGAATGACCATAATGACATTTGTCATTTACCTTTTAAACAAATAAAGGAGTTTTGATTAATTTTTCAAAGAAATTTATTAATTTTATATTGTGCAATACTGCCAAAGCTACAACATACTTCTTAGTGTTTGGTAGAGATGTTCTAAATATATAATTATATATACTTTTAACTAAATAGAATTTATGTTACACTTAATGTAAGAGAATAATAATAAATAATTATTTATTTAATTTTTCAAATGTAAACTGAACTTAATTGACTATAATAACTCCTTTTCCAGTCTTTGATTATTTAATTGTAATTTATTATTTGCATGCAATCAAAAACTATTTTTAATAATGCCAAAGAAGTATAACTTCTTACGCGCGTACATAAGTACACGCACCCTTTTTTTTTGGATTCACTCGACATAGCACCAGTATATAAAAAATAATATTCATTCGTGTCTTTTCGACTTATATTAAAACTTTCTGCTAATCTAATATATAAAATTCGCGGTGTTTGTAGTTAAACTCCTCCGAAACGTACACGAAACGAACGAAATTTTTGGTATGTCTCAGACATACCCAATATGAATACCAAACATCGGACAACATCTATTTTTCATCCCACTAAATGTTAAGGGTTTTTTAACCCCTAATGTTTTTGTTAATATTTAGATATATTTTTTTTATGATACAGCATTAAAAAATACATACAACCCCTAATTTTCATCCCTCTACGATCAACCCCTATTTTTTATTATAAATGATATACATGGCAAAACGTCGTTTGCCGGATCAGCTAGTAATAATATAATTTGAGTTTTAGAAACGTGTCTTACTGGAACTACCGTCCAATATAGAACAGAATATAGTAAAGTGTACCTAATGTATAACTTCAAAAATAATGCAAATGATACGAATATGGGAATCTTCAAAATATAAAAACCTACAAAAATTCCTTTCTGTATACTTTGTAAAACTTGCTTATTTTAGATGTATTTAGTATAACATTTTTTTAAATAATGAATTCTATAAAGGATTAATTGTCGCCTGTTTATTTAATGACAAAAAATCTTCTAAACCATTTATAGTTACAGGAGACACTGGGTATGATAGACCCGTCACTTCTCCTGCGGCCGGAGACAGTGTACGAAGACAAGCCAGTTGCAAATTTCCGCGATTATACCATCGACGACAACGATCCAATACGGGAGCGCGTGCGCAGGACCTATTACACAATGCATACAAATATGACCGTGGACTTCGTGCAATGTAAGCAGATTTTAAATAGAAGTTATTTAAATTGGACTGTTATTGTTGCTATAATTGTTGTATGTTATTGTTTGATCTTATGTAATATTTCTATGATACAATGACTATGGATTTTTTTTAGTGAGTGCCGATTATAAGAAAATTACAAAAGAACGGATCACTAATAGTTAAAATAATTTATTAAAATACTAGGTGACCCGATGAACTTCGTAGACTTACATATATTTGTGTCAAAACTTAATAGAACATTTTAAAAACAGAGCAGAGACCGGACATCAAACAGCTATTTCCATAGTTATTTCTAAAAAAATAAATTACATCAAATATTTCCCAGTTAGCAACGTTTTTTATAAGTTCAATTGCCGTTTTTAGTATTTTTCTTAACTTAATTTGTTTCCCATCGTTTAAACCTTCCTTGAACTTGTACAAATATTTCAAGATCATAATAAGCAAATCGATCCAGACGTTATAAAATATATATATAGACAGTTGAACAAGAAAAATAACTCGAGCACTAAAAATTCTACGAGTATGTGGGTTTTGTTAGATAGGTACAGTTGCGTAGTTAATTTTATATTCTTAGGAGTTGTTTCTATTATATTTCTTACTAGCTGGTGCTCGCGACTTCATCTGCGCAGGATTAAAATATGTCTAAATGATGTAGAAAGACATATTTTCTTTTCTTTAAATACCAGAAGCGATAAAAGTATCTACAAAATATTTTCATTTAGGAATCAATTTATTACCTACTACAAAATGTACATTAGAAATAAATTATCAACTTTTATTGTAGTTATGGTTCACTATTTTGGCTATAACGGCTTACATAAAACATAGACATATACCGTGGGTATATATATATATATATATATGTAATAATATTAGTAGGATAGTAGTTTTGGCCTAGTAGCGTCAGCGTACGATAAAGGAAAACATCGCGAGGAAACCGGCATACCATAGATACAAAAATCGACAGCGTTAGTGTTAGGCTATTTATTAATGATAATTTATTAATTACTTATAACGTAATGATTCCAGCTAAAATGGACAAATGGTTAAAGTTTAACCACTTCAAAGCTTCAATGAAGGAGGCTCTATACAAAATGAACGAATTGGTTGACGAATCGGATCCCGATTTAGACCTGCCCAACATTGTACACGCGTTCCAAACAGCGGAAAGGATACGGGAGGACCATCCAAATGACGACTGGTTCCATCTTATTGGATTGATACATGATGTTGGCAAGGTAAATTGCATAAAAACACAGGAATATCTACTTTATTTTAATGTCAACACGTTTGGTTCTTTAGAATATTTTAATGTAACCATAAAATGCGGATGTTCTTAACTAATGATTTTATCGAAAACTTCGTCTCATCAATTGCTTAATGAAGTGGAATTTGCTACAACAAAATAGGATTATTAAGTTATATGCGAAGATAATCAGATAATCATTTGTTCGATTGTATAGGTACACCATATACGTGCAAATACAGAATTATTATTATTATCAATGTATAGAGTACAATTCCAATAAGTATTGGATAGTCGGAACATGTCACTTTGCAAATATATATAAGAAATGTTACGTTGTTCCAGGTTATGGCATTCTATGATGAGCCACAATGGTGTGTTGTGGGAGACACGTTCGCTGTGGGCTGCAAATGGGGCAAGAATATTGTTTATGGCGATGACAGCTTCAAGGACAACCCTGACAGCTATAACCATAAATATAAGTACGTTTTGCTAAATTAAAACTATTAGCTGCAACCCTGGTTATTGAGAATTAGGCCAAAAGCCAATGTTACTTAAGCCCTGTTGTTATTCAGTATACAACAAAAATTTTAGAATGTGTTTCAATCACACTTTAATTTTTTAATATACAGAATGTGTAACTGTGTGTCTGAACTTTGATTTGGCTGGTATGCACCTTAGTTTGATGCTATGAAATTTTCTTACTGTTACGAATACGCAACATATTATTGAATCTTATATTAACATTTTATATTATTGAATCTTTTTTAGCTGTAAGTTTCCCTAAAATTGTAAAATAAAATAAATAAATACCTAAAAATAACAAATAGCCGTAACAGTCGATGACGTCCTTATTAAGTACCTAATACACTAGAATTCAGCCGGGACCTTTGTTTTTGGTCAATATAACCGGTATGTTGTTCTAAACGATGTCGTCGTAAACAATTTTGACTGTATTTCATTTTATTAAATACATAGTAGATCCAACACCAAAATTTTACTATTGATATTTTTACAGCACTCTCCACGGAATGTACCAACCAAATTGTGGCATTGAGAATCTCATGATATCGTGGGGCCACGATGAGTATTTGTATCGTGTGCTGGTTCACAATAGAGCGAAGTTTCCCGTCGAAGGACTATGGATGATACGGTACTGTATATTCATTTAAAAAAGTAAATTCCTACACTCCACGAGTTTTTTTATAGAACAGGAGCAAACCGGCAGTAGGCTCACCTGATGTTAAGTGGTTGCCGGCCTTTGAAGAATTGGTACGCTTTCGTCTCGAAGGACCCTAAGTCAAATTGGTTCGGAAACACTTCAGTGGGCAGCTGGTTCCACATAGTGGTGGTGCGCGGCAAAATCTGCCTAAAAACGCTCAGTTGTAGAACGACGGATGTCGAGGCGATACGGGTGGATATCGGATATCGAGAAATTATTTTTAATATTCCAGATATCATTCATTCTACCCATGGCATGCAGGCGGTGATTACGCACACCTCACAAAAAGGGAAGATGAGAAAATAAAGGAAGCCGTTATCAAATTCAAGTAAGTATATTCACAACTTTGCTCATTAGGTCTACCGGTTAATTAATGCCTTTGTAGCCGATTTTGCAGTAGGTTGTATGTTATAATGCTCTGTGCATCAACTTACTCAAAAATAAAAAACATCAACAAAAACTTGATGAACAAAATGTAAAGTAGAACTTAAATAAACTCTAAATTCAATCTATTTCCTTTTAGCCAATACGACTTATACACAAAGAGCACAGTGGTACCTGATATCGATGCGTTGTGGCCTTACTACGAGGGTCTTATTGATAAGTACATACCCGGAGTGTTGGAGTGGTGAAAACAGTTGAATAAAAGTTGTAATTTTTTTGTAAATAAATAATCTTAAGCTTTATTTATAATTTATTTCATTTTATTTAATCATTAAAAAGTTATAGAACAGGTGGCAAACGGGCAGAACGCTTACCTTATGTTAAGTGATACTGTCGCCCATGGACACTCACAATTACTTGTAAGAATTGGTACACTCTTTTCTTGAAGGAACCTAAGTCAAATTAGTTGGAAAATACCTTGACGAACAGTTGACTCCACAAAGTGCGCGGCAAAAAGTGCCTTAAAAATGTCATTTCACAATCATAAGAGGTGCATTTATACTTAATCTAGTTTATATCATAGTGTATCTATTCATTACAATATTTTTTATATATCTGGTTTTACTTTTAAAATTAAAAAACAATATTCGATAAATCAGGAACTTTATTTAAGCTATATTTACAGAATACAAAATATCAGAAAATATATAATCTATAGCTTCAACAACCAGTCATAATGCGAACTTAAATAATATCACTAAGATATTAACCGAATTCAGAGGAAACAAGACATATTCGAATAAAACGAAGTTGTTAAAGATTGAAGCATTATTTTGTAAGGGCGTTTCGTTCCACTTTGTTTTCCCGTTTCGTACACAACTTGCGTTCATACCCACTACAGGCACGATTAACCCGAATATAAACAAATTCTACGACCCAAGTTTTTTTCGCTATCCGCTTCACGTGAAATGCTCCAATAATGAAGTCTATTACCCCGACTTCGGTTAACACCATAATATATCAATAGCCGCACATAACACAAGTTCTGTCTTAATCTAAATACTTTAAGACACTGATTTCGCAAAATTGCAGCCAATTGTTCCTTGCTAGTTTCAAGATTAATATAATATACTATTACATTACAATGTTTTGACACAAAATGTACGCGTTCTTTATGGGTGATGACCATTTTGCCTTACAGAAATAATCACTTTTAAATGGCACTCTTATTGTAAATAATGAATAGACCATAGATTAAACAATTTTATATTCATGTTGAGATTCTAAAACCAATTTTGTGTCAAAAATTTGTATTTATAATAAAACATGTAATTTTAATATGAAGACAAACTACGTAAATAATTTAATGGACATAGATCAGTAATATTTGATAAACAGACATCGAAAACAGTTTCACTAATAAATACATAGCTAATAACTATGATAGTTGACTATCAATTTCTATGGGTTGCCACTTTAATAAAACTTACTACGTGTATAAAATTAAATTTTATAGCGAAACTCCAAAATTATTAGAATTTTTTCAAAACAGCCAGCAAAATTTTTGTTGGATTTTCAATTTTAGCATGACTTATTTTCTAGTTAGCAACCCTAAAGTTATCTCACTCCAATGATGTTAGCCTACCAATCTTACCTATCAGTCTTTATATTGGAAAGACGGGATTCAATTCCTTGCACATACACAACACCGTAAGGCCGACTCAAGGCTTATATTCAGTGGCAATATTTACATAAGCTTACAAAAGCAATATAGATCAAAATAACGACGGACTTGTTAGTGTACCTAGGAACTGTTGAAATATAATGAATATGAAAATTAAGGATGTACTACTAGAAGTTCTTAGATGAAATTGATACATTCTAGTATATCTACATAACTATTAGAAGCCTATGTAACTTTCGAACTATTGTGAGAGACAAGTTCCGACTAACACTACGATCTGTCAATGTCATCTGTCACATTTGGCAGATAGCTTTGACACTTCCCTGAGTTCGTATCTTATCTTGACTGTTATATACGATATGAGATAAAGAAATAGAAATCTTATCAAATTTTTAATAGGAGGTTCATATATAATTAAGAATGACAGTTCGTAGATGTCTTTCTTTAATTATTGATAGAAGTTTTATTATCATAAATTCCTTTGGATATGAAACTTCAAGATTTATTTAAAAACCTGTAAGCTTATTCATAGTCCAATATATTATTAAATAACCATAAAATTGTTAATTGCTTTTGTAAGCTATGAAAAATAATCAAGCTAAATACAACCTACGGAGACCTGAAATAAGCTGTCATCAATTCAACTTATTTGAAAACATTATTTTAAACCTAGATGGTCCGCTTAAACATATATTGGACCACAAAATGCAAAGCGTGAAAAGATTTACGAAGAATCTTATTTATAATCATTATAATATATAATTAAATTTTTAGACAAGAGATTATTCAGTAGAAACGAGCTTCACGAATATCGGAGAATCGAAATAAATTCTCCTAAGCTCGTTTTGTTTCCTTTTGTCGTATAGAACGCAATGTCACTCATTTATCCAGCCTCTAGTAATAAAAAACACAAAAACAGCACTAGGGTAATTTCCTTATATCCAAAAAATTTCTGACGCATCAAATGGAGAAATGGAATTTCTACAAAACTGACGGTTTAAAATACACATTTGACAGCTGGCGTTAAAAATTACCGTCGGACAAGTGGCTAGTAATGTTGACCTCTGTGTGGTGATTGGGTTTATGTCTCAAAGTGCTTGTAAATACTGGTCACGTAGGCCATCACCTGCTGCCAATCGGGTCGTTCTTGCTGTATCATGTCTTGAATGTTCTGGAAAAATGTAAGTCAAATACATAATATGCACATTTTTAAAACAAGCTTAAAAAACGCTTTGGTGGGCCTGAAAACCAGTGCCTAGGTTTATTTTAATGGTCCTAGTTTATGATAATTGGGTATAAAATTAAAAAAAAATATTAACTTTAAGTATTCAAAAATTACGTTTTTTAAAAATTATGGTCGACTTTGGTTTTAGCTTATCACAGCTATTCTATGTAACATTTTACGTCAATTTTAGCTTAATTTAAATAGAATTTTAATTCGTGTTTTACTGTATATATACAAGATGGAAAATACAGTAGTCCATATAACAGATAAGTCAATATATTATATAGATTAATTTTGTATGAGTAGATTGTATTTAGAGATTTATTTATGTTGAGAATTTGTAACTTACCAGTGTAGTAGGTATTCCAACAGACTCAGCAGCGGCAAAGGCCATAGAGAAATTGGTTCGTTTGTCGTTAGGAGTGAGAGAAGAATATGGAATACGACCTTCGCCCAAGTACGAATATAGAAGAGCGCAAAGGGCCAAACCGTCATTCCAGGACGAGCTGAAATGTTGTAATATTATTAAAAAATTCAAAATTAAAATCATTTTTTCTTATAGGTATTAATTTACACTTATGAACGTCAAAAAAGAAATATATATGAAATGCTCAGTTCTCAAATCAAGGGCGTAGAACGGAAGAGGAGAACTGGCTAAACTCTCCGCCACTCTTTTTAATCGCCAACTTTTGTTGTTAGATAACGTTTGTAAGGAGCTGCAACCATTACACCATGTTCCACATGACATCTTAAGTAATTAATAATAATAAAATAAATTAAAAACAAAGATTTGTCCTCTATTTATTGACTAAGAATGAATGAAAATGGATTGACGAAGAAGAATCACGATGATATGTTTGTTTTTTCCTAACTCACATTTATATCTGACATACAGAATAAAAGTTTAGTTCACCAAATGTGTTGAATTGTTTAATACGCTATATTTTATTCAAAGAATTTGCTAAAAAGACATTAGCGTATCAAGGTCTACGCTTCGGGGTTTGTTTGTTTTAAAAAAAACAGTGGCGATACAAGCTCTTCTTGGTAGGTCTTGACCACAGATTTTTGTATCTATTTCGTGAACATTTTTCTAAAAGGCAAGTTCGTGATCAGCCTCCTCCTGTGCCTGACGCTGTCAACTTTTTAGGTCTAAGGCATGTCGGTTACCTCACGATGTTTTCCTTCACCCTACGAGTATTAAATGCGCACATAGACAGACGTCCATTGATGCACAGCCGTAATTTGAAAACACTGCTTGACTGTTTATCAGTTGCTCAGCCTTACATTTCGAAAACAGTAACCCTGTGGTGGTAAACCCGGTCTCCCTTTTACATACTCTTTATAGATTATCCAAATAAGTAAACATGAATAGATACTAGCTGTGCTGCAGTTTCACTCGCATTCATCAATCAGATCATTTAGTACATTCGAAACCAACAAAATAAAAATCATTAATTTCAAGTTCATTTTCTAGTTATGGTGTAACTAACCCGAAAAATTTAGACGTAAATAGCTAACCTGAAGTTGGTAATATCAATGTTGTTGTATCCCATGGTCTTCTGCTGACACCATTTAAGAAGAGCGTTGCGTTTCGATCCTCCGTTCTTTACTTGTAATGCATTTAGGGGATCTTTTCTTTCACCTTAAAACAATTTTATGTTCATTACTGTTCTTAAGAATATTATTTATTTAAGAAATTTCAGTATGTTATTAAATTTAGAGCTAAGAATGGGAAACAAAATGTTTATGACTTTATGTAATGTGGTCGTATAAATCTTTTCTTTCTTCTTTCTCTTCTTCAATAAAAAAGTTACAAAAATGGGTCTATCACATAGTAAGTAAAGTAATGAGACAATCTTTGATTTGCAACTCCCAAGACGTGGAAAGTTTATGTGATAGTACGATGTTCCATAAGTACTGGATTACAATGAGGTTACTGAAACATTGAAAGACGCGGATCTTCACCTCTCTCTTCCTAAAATACCTATTTAGATACTTTGCCCATCTAAACTATGATACTTACATATATCCCCATAGCTGTTCCGCCTGACGAAAGACTCGATAGCTTTCTGCTGCAGTGAAGCCAGTGCTCGCTGCTCGTCGGGAATGTTTGCGATGCTCGCCACACCGCCCGACTCTGGCCCCAGTTAGACACGTCAGCAAGCGTACCATAACCGCGATGTGACAATTATTATTTAAAGAGATCAGAATTTAACTATCAAATGGATTTTTATTTAAAAAAAATACAAAATTTTACTATAGACTGTATTTTTATGTATCAAATTCAAAGTAAAATTAATAACAGAAACAAATAGCAGTATATTGATTAGTATGGAACC